AGCACCTTGTTGAATCTATGTCACGAAGAATTGAGGCATTTCAAAAGGCAAAAGGGGGTCCAACCCGTTACTAGCGTGGTGTACCTAATAAAGTGGCCGGTGAGTGTAATGTTGCCTCAATAACATATCTGACACTTTGCTATATGGCATGATTTCCATCATCGCCAGAACTCCACTATTGTTGGTCATGTGAAAAATGCTGTAACCAGTGATCAAAGTGGGCTGGACACTTCGCTACTCAGGACAGGAACTTATGAATTTTTGTACTTAGCATTCATTTTTTTATAACACTACACCACCCTCGTAAACCTGCATAAAGATGCAAACAAATTTCTTTGGTTAATGAAAGAAAATCCTACAAAGGTCACTAAACTAACTAAATTTAAACCAATGAATGAAAATTTGTCATGTTTGAATTTTGGTTCAGCAGAATTAAAACAAGCTATCAAAGGAGACATTAGCTGCATTTCCATTGCAAATTTGCGCAAAACTTTGTCGATATTCTGTTAATATCGAAAAACACAGTTTCTCAATTGCAGTGTTTCCATCAAGTAAGAAATGATAATAAAGTCACACGTGAATACGTTTGTTCTCGCGGTAAGTCATAACAAACATGGCAGCAATGGATGTAAATGCATAGCATGTTGCTACCTCGACACTAATGCTCATCAACAGCCATCAGAGGAGACGTCGGCGTCTTCTCGAGGCTTTCCAGCGACAAGCTTCTTATAATTGGGAGCGGCTACATATGCTACATTTTTGGGAAATTGTAGTCGGTGAGTTTAYTACTTTCTTTTACAATTTCAGTAATTTTACTACTACTTCTATTTCCTGTTGTCTTCCTCTTCTTCATAATCTTTTTCGCCAGTAGAAACAGCCGGTTATTGATCACGTGACTCCCGTGATGCGAAAAAAGTGTTTCCATTGCAGTTTTGCAAACTACACCAATTTCGACACGGCCAAAAAAACCACCTCATCCTAGTGCAAAAACATTTTGTCGAAAAATGTAAGTTTTTCCGAAATTGACGTGTTTCCACTGAGCAAATTTGTTTTTCGAAATTCTAATTTGCGTATTTTCATGGTCAATGGAAACGCAGCTACAGGCAAAAATAGAAAGGTTTTCTTTATATCTAAGTTTTGAGACAATMAACAAATTTGTCATCAGTTTTCCTCTTGTAACCACAGCCAGGGAGGTTAGCTACAAACCAGTCCCATTTGTTCACATGAAGGGGGAGGGACTTTAAACATGTACAGGAACCAGCCTGCAGGGAAGCTGGTTCAACTTTTTAAGTTCCACCTGAAAGTCTATTTGTTTTTCACAGTTTCAACAACCGCAGCTCGATCTAAAAATACATTACCCACCGAGCATTTGTTGAAAATAGAAAGTCATGGCTCGCTCTGCACTGTTTCTGATTGGGTCAAATATGACCCTTGAATCTTGGTGATTGTTTGAAAGTTTAGCACAAGGAGCCATTCAGAGGCCTGGGTGGACGAGCTCTAAGAATCTGAGGATTTGCATCATAACCAGTCTGTAAACAGAGAGGAAGGTCTTTTACTGAGTAAACAGTAAATCTGTAGGTATTCGTTGGTAATTTAAGTCTTGATCCAAACAACATGAGAGTGTAATGGCACTTTTTTATCCTCACTCTGAGCACTGGTCATAWCAAGACCACAGAAATTTAAACATCAATAAAAACGGACCCGAATACAACAATATATTATCATGCTATGTTATGCTAACACAGGTGCACTGCTTGTTTTTAACCATGGCTAAACTCAGGAACTCTGTCCTGCGCGGTCGACAAAAGGTCGACATTGACCGAGTTCTTTGCCGACCTCAAAGACCAGAAGAAAATGGCTGTGAATTTAGACGGTCTAGCCTTCAGCTTTATTTCCGCCCTTACCCCGGCGTATGTCTTGTCACATAGCAATCATGGCAACACTAAAAAGAAGCAATGAAAATCAAAATTAGATTAAAATCAGCAAAATATTATATTATTATTAAAATGAACAAAATTAGCTTAGAGGCTATACACAAAAAACTAAGGGACCTGCCAGATGAGTTTGATACAATGATATCTGAGAAAAATAATATTAAAAGACATCTGGGCAAATTGTATACATACATGTCAACCCCTTCAGATTTTTACCTGTATTGTAAGCCTGTAAAATACGCARTTTTCATTCAAAGTCCATATTACTCAAGCACAATACACGGAGGGAACTTCAAGTGGTCGGATGTACAGAAATACAGAATGTGAGACGGAGATAATAGCGCTTGCAGAAAAGAGGATCAGGGAAAGGACAGGGTGAGAATGGAAATTTTTTTTACACATCCTACAAGCTCTGAAACGTAAAATAAATTTGAAGCTGTGTCTCTGAAAAGATCAGTGCAATTACATCCATATTGCAAAGTGTGTGTGTGTGTGTATGTATGTGTGTGTGTGTGTGTGTGGGGGGTGGGGTGATCTGTGTACTTTACAGACAACCCGTACAACTTGACATGTATGCTAGTAACACAATCATTTTCAATTTTAATTTTTTGGACCACCAGATTTTTATTTTGAACTCCTGTCTCCCACTTCGTCCACCATTACACGCAACAAGAATCTCCCAGTTGACCTACAATGTATCTTGGGATAGGGTGGCCTGAGGATACACCGGACTGTCCCTCAAATTGGGGAAAAGGGAGGACATGTTTGTGGGCCACAATTGGAGGAGCTTTTGAAATTGGACAACCTTTGGCGTGGTGCTGTGACGTAATTGGGCCTTCAAAGGATGCAGTCCCTGAATTTGGACACAGCCCATGTCATTGTACCAGTGGTGTATACTTTATTTTCTTGGCTCTTTGACAGCACAAATACATTGTTCATTGTGACATTTGGTTTCTGCTGTGTAAATATTGTATTGGTGGAGTAAAGATGATGTCCTGATGCATCTCAGTAATCTAGGTAAAAAAATCAAAAAGAAAAAAATTGTGTAGGTCTTCTAGACGGGTTCTTCTCTAATGAAACGTTTCGTCTCTTCTCCAAGAGACTTCTTCAGTCTGAGTTTCAGGCAAAATTCAGGCTTTTAAGCACTGCCTCCATGTGACTGATACTCACATCACATRGCTATCGTTGACACCTAATTAACACTTATTGTTAACAGGGGTAGAGTGATACTGCCAATGGCAGCGCTGTAGGAGGGGGACAACTGAAAACGGAGGCCTCCACCTCTGTTTAATGATGGACGGTCTTTCTTCACAAAAATGGCTTCTTTTACTTAGTAAAGGTGACATACGCATTTTCAGTACCAGTTGTCTCTGATCTCAGGATGTAAACCAATGAAAGACCAATTTCTGCTGGTCATTCATTTCACAAGCTTGCTGCATGAGACCCTGGCTGTGCTAATGTAAGACCGCCATTTTTACAAAATAAAGAGTTGAAATAAGAACATGTAACTACAGCAACATCACATGTATTAATAACAAAATGCAACACCAACAAAAACAAGAAGGTAACAACAAAGAATCAAAGCTTATGCTGTCAGTATGCTAAAACTCTCCCTACATATCATCATGAACGTTACAAGTATGTAATATACGCCACAAGACTCAAYATTTCACCACATACATTTGATTTCTTCATGATTTGACCTGAGACAAAAAAAAAAAAAACTTTAAAAATACACCATAAGTAGTAAACTACAAAACATGGTGATAGAAGCCTGACGTTTCAACAGTTTTTACATCTGTTTGAATTTATTTTTGGAATGTGCAACAAAATGTTGACTCAAGTTCTTCAGGACTGAAACATTTTTGAGTTCTGAAAAATTTCTGTAGCAAAGAAGCTGCAGCAGACAATACTTGATTCTGAGTTTTATAAAGGCAACGGGACTCATTTTCTTATTTTTTAAAAGAGTTTTTCTCATTTGAGGAACAGTTTAAACGTGCAGTGTGGTGTGTTACTGCAAAGTTTGGTTGGGAGTCATTATCGTATCAAACCTGAGCTCAATATTTGCAAATCTGATTGAGGTTTAGACATTTTTATGTTTGATAGGTTTGATTAGCTGTGGTGGCCATCTTAAATTGGATTGACTCCAGAAATAAATGAGCTGTAGATGAACATCAGATGACTAATTTCTGAAAGTTCTATTAAAATCCGTTTGGTGATTCATGACAAATTTTGTTAACAGACCCGATTAAATACATTATTATTAAACATTGCTGTCAGCCTTTTACTTTTAAAGGGAGATTAAAAATAAGAAAATAGGTCCAGTTGACTCAAAAACCTCTCCGAATTTCTGTGTCCTGCATGAATGTACACCAACAGACATTAGTTGGTTTGTTTTTTTATGGATATTTTGATATGAAACATGAAAAAAAGGAAAACTTTAATTGAAACACCTCACTAATCCCTTGACATGATGTAAAAACAAAAATAAATGAAAATAAATAATGAATCAGAGTGCAGTGAATAGAAAAAAAGCATTTAAAACAAATATATTTGTTCCACACCAAAAGTGCATTATGGTTTTTAATGTATGACTATTATTAGGGGAGAATTTGCTCATTTTTTAAGTGATGTTCTGTTAAATAAATGTCAGCATTTTGTCAGAGCAGGGAGTTTGGGAAAAAAAGAGCAATTTAAATGTTGATCTAATCAGAGATCTTTATTTCCTCGCTGGCATTTATGCTCAAAACACAAATTTATTAAGCATCACATAAGATAGAGTTGCGAATAAAGAAACAAACTAAACAAATGTTTCATGCAAAAGAGGTCTGATGTTAACTCATGTAGTGTTCTTTCAAACCATTTTAGTGATGCGTTTYAAAATCCTGATAGTTAAAAAGTAAAATGAAAAAATTAAACTAGCCATCACTTTGTTAGCATTAGCCTAGCCTAGATGAAAACTTCTGCCCTTTTCTCCACTCTCTGCACTCCGTGACTGATAAACTCTAATTGGTAAAAACAATTTGACAAAACCACACTTCAGAAACAACCAGACAGTTGTTTTATAATGTTTCCTATAAATTTGTTTCACAGCTGGATAGAAAATCTGCTCTGGCTGCTAATTAAGCTCCTGATAGACTCGTAGCAGAGCTGAGAGAAAAATCTGTAACATAAATAAACAACAAATAAGAAGTTGATGTTTCTGACAGGACAGAGAGAAGAACTCTTGAAAATGTTACTTTAGAAACAGACAGAAATCAAAGGAAAAACACAGAAAAGCACAGTTTGGATTCAGTTTCACAGACTTTATAACAACAAATTCAAAAGTTTTTTTTTCTGCCACAGTAACTTATGTGTAACAATGTCTTTCAGGTTCTTGGTGCATAAGTTTAAATCTGCTTTCAGAGCACCACTAAACAGCCATCTCATCACCTAAACAGTCCGACAGGCTCTCAGCGTTCATCACGTTCAAGAGCCGAGCTGCAACCTCAGCCCCGCCCCCTTCCCCCTGACCCCAGCTGTCACGGTCATCACTCTCATCCGTGTTCGATTCATACTCCGATCCGATCCCGGATTCCCGAAAACGAAGTAACTCCAGGGCTCCAAGGACCTGCTCCCCCAGCAGCGAGCTTTCGTCACTGGGTGTCTCTCCCGTGTCCTGACCTGGCGCCTGGCCGTCCGGCCCGACGTCCGGCCCAAGCGCGGAGAAACGGAAGCACTCGAGCCGAACCCCGCTGCCGCCGGGCCCCAACGGGAAGGGGTCGGCGCCCGGAGAACAGGGCCCCGGCAGAGCGGAGAACCAGGCGCCGTCACCGCCCTGCAGCTGGGACTGAACTGCTAACGGGCCTGAAGATGAAGAAGGAGTGAGAGGTGCACAGGACTCACTGGAGGGCCTGGCACGGAACGTTATCTCCAGAAGACTGTCCTGGGAGCCCACTATGAATAAAACAAGGACAGACAGAAAGAAAACGTATAAGAATGAAAGTACAAAATAAAAAAAACAACAACATAAGTTTAGGTTAAACACATACACACATACATACTGTAATTCAAGATGGCCACCACAGTGATTTTAAATGACCTTAAATCAGCTGTTTTAAGATATATTGAGCTGAATTTTTGTGTGATCGAAGCTAAGAATGATCCAAAAAAATATGCTGCTTGCTAGTCCCAATTTAAGCTAACCGCTAATGTAAACTTTACGTTGAGTTCCACCATTTTTATGCAAACAATGCTAAAAATTAAGTGCACTAATGACCAAAAACAATCTTTACTAAATTCTAAATAATAATCAAAAATTCAAGATGACCACCACAGTTAAATTTAAAATAATTAAAATCAGCCATTTCAAGACTGAGCTGAAATTTGTTGTGGTGTAGTTACAAATGATCCCAAACCCCAATTAAGCTAACTGATAATGCTAATTTTACAAAGAGCTGTAATATAGCAATTTTAAACATACACAGCTGAAATTTTGTGTAGTAGTAGCTGAGAAAATGTTATTTTTAACAAACTCTGAATTCAAATTCAATACCTATGATGGCCACCAAAACTACTTTGAAATGGCAACAACAGAAATTTCTGAAAATGGTTGAGTTTAAGTTGAACCTAGCATGCACCAAATTTAGGTTCCTTATACACCAAACAACACAGCTGCTTGATGGGTATTTACTAATTTTTTGCTCCAGCTGACCGTATTTTATTGCCACATGTGATCCTCATCCACCCTGCCCACCCCTTCGGCTCTGCCCCTGGCCTTACACCTAACTCCTAACTCTGCAATAATATTCCACCATATTAGGGCCAGTCTTTGGTCCCCAAAAGAACTACTGGTCCTGACAAGGTTGGTTTTATACAAGCAGAAGTCCTTCAAAATCGCATCCA